ACCATCACGGTCTAGGCCCCAGTGGACCACCACCAGAGTCTAGGCCCAGGAGACCACCACCAGAGTCTAGGCCCCGGGGAACCACCACCAGAGTCTAGGCCCCAGGAGACCACCACCAGAGTCTAGGCCCCAGGAGACCACCACCAGAGTCTAGGCCCCCCGGGGACCACCACCAGAGTCTAGGCCCCGGGAGACCACTACCAGAGTCTAGGCCCCGGGAACCACCACCAGAGTCTAGGCTTCAGAAGACCACCACCCGAGTCTAGGCCCCGGGAGCCCACCATCACGGTCTAGGCCCCAGTGGACCACCACCAGAGTCGAGGCCCAGGAGACCACCACCAGAGTCTAGGCCCCGGGGAACCACCACCAGAGTCTATGCCCCAGGAGACCACCACCAGAGTCTAGGCCCCAGGAGACCACCACCAGAGTCTAGGCCCCGGGGAACCACCACCAGAGTCTAGGCCCCGGGAGACCACTACCAGAGTCTAGGCCCCGGGGAACCACCACCAGAGTCTAGGCCCCGGGGAACCACCACCAGAGTCTAGGCCCCGGGGAAACACCACCAGAGTCTAGGCCCCGGGGAACCACCACCAGAATCTAGGCCCCGGGAGACCAGCAACAGAGTCTAGGCCCCACAATACCACCACCAGAGTATAGGCCCCGGGAGACCACCACCAGAATCTAGGCCCCGGGAGAGCACCACCAGAGTATAGGCCCCGGGAGACCACCACCAGAGTATAGGCCCCGGGAGACCACCACCAGAGTCTAGGCCCCGGGAGACCACCACCAGAGTCTAGGCCCCGGTAGACCACCACCAGAGTATAGGCCCCGGGAGACCACCGCCAGAGCTTAGGCCCCAGGAGACCACCACCAGAGTCTAGGCCCCGGGAGACCATCACCAGAGTCTAGGCCCCAGGAGACCACCACCTGAGTCTAGGCCCCGGGAGACCACCACCAGAGTCTAGGCCCCGGGAGACCACCACCAGAGTTTAGGCCCCAGGAGACCACCACCAGAGTCTAGGCCCCGGGAGACCACCACCAGAGTCTAGGCCCAGGAGACCACCACCAGAGTCTAGGCCCCAGGAGACCACCACCTGAGTCTAGGCCCCACAAGACCACCACCAGAGTCTAGGCTTCAGGAGACCACCACCCGAGTCTAGGCCCCGGGGAACCACCACCAGAGTCTAGGCTTCAGAAGACCACCACCCGAGTCTAGGCCCCGGGAGACCACCATCACGGTCTAGGCCCCAGTGGACCACCACCAGAGTCTAGGCCCCGGGGAACCACCACCAGAGTCTAGGCCCCAGGAGACCACCACCAGAGTCTAGGCTCCAGGAGACCACCACCAGAGTCTAGGCCCCGGGAGACCACTACCAGAGTCTAGGCCCCGGGGAACCACCACCAGAGTCTAGGCCCCGGGGAACCACCACCAGAGTCTAGGCCCCGGGAGACCACCACCAGAGTCTAGGCCCCGGGAGACCACCACCAGAGTATAGTATAGTATAGTATTTGGTGGCTGAGTGGATAGCACTCTCGCCTCTCAGCAGGAAGGTCCTGGGTTCGAATCCCGGCCGGACCAGGGCCTTTCTGAGTGGAGTTTGCATGTTCTCCCTGTGTCTGCGTAGGTTTCCTCCGGGTACTCCGGTTTCCCCTACCACTAAAAATATGTACAATAGGTCTGGCATGCGCCTCCTGTTCGGCGACCCCGCTCTGTGTGGAGTGAGAGGACAAATGCCCAAAAAATAACAATTGTAAACCGCTTTGTGACTCTGGTCTGTGAAAGGCGGTATATAAATAAAGCTTACTTACTTACTTACTTACTATAGGCCCCGGGAGACCACCACCAGAGCTTAGGCCCCAGGAGACCACCACCAGAGTCTAGGCCCCGGGAGACCACCACCAGAATCTAGGCCCCGGGAGACCAGCAACAGAGTCTAGGCCCCACAATACCACCACCAGAGTATAGGCCCCGGGAGACCACCACCAGAGTCTAGGCCCCGGGAGACCACCACCAGAGTATAGGCCCCGGGAGACCACCACCAGAGTATAGGCCCCGGGAGAGCACCACCAGAGTCTAGGCCCCGGGAGACCACCACCAGAGTCTAGGCCCCGGGAGACCACCACCAGAGTATAGGCCCCGGGAGACCACCACCAGAGCTTAGGCCCCAGGAGACCACCACCCGAGTCTAGGCCCCGGGAGACCACCACCAGAGTCTAGGCCCAGGAGACCACCACCAGAGTCTAGGCCCCAGGAGACCACCACCTGAGTCTAGGCCCCACAAGACCACCACCAGAGTTTAGGCTTCAGGAGACCACCACCCGAGTCTAGGCCCCGGGGAACCACCACCAGAGTCTAGGCTTCAGAAGACCACCACCCGAGTCTAGGCCCCGGGAGACCACCATCACGGTCTAGGCCCCAGTGGACCACCACCAGAGTCTAGGCCCAGGAGACCACCACCAGAGTCTAGGCCCCGGGGAACCACCACCAGAGTCTAGGCCCCAGGAGACCTCCACCAGAGTCTAGGCCCCAGGAGACCACCACCAGAGTCTAGGCCCCGGGGAACCACCACCAGAGTCTAGGCCCCGGAAGACCACTACCAGAGTCTAGGCCCCGGGGAAACACCACCAGGATCTCGCCACAAAGCTCTGTCGGGGTCTAAGCACCAAATCATAACCAAACTTCATGTACAGCTGCAATAAATGTCATTCTTGTATATAATGTCTGCAGCGTCTTAAGTGCTCATTTATGCAGTGACAGATTTCTATGGCAACCAATAAATGCAATTCTACTAAACCTCTGTGAGAACTGCTGTGAGGCTGCACACAACACGGTGGTCACGGCTGTCGTCATCACCGAACATATAAACACCTAATTATAAAACAGAGACATGGCTTTAGGGCGGTTCATCTCGTCTTCTTAGTCAATGAAGTTATTTGGTTCAATCCACTTTATTTATATAGCACATTTTATAAAACAAGTTTCCAAAGTGACACGTTTGTGTATCAAAAATAGAATAGGTTTAGTCCTGGTTTAGTAGTAATTTAGTCCAGGTTTAGTCCTGGTTTAGTCCTGGTTTAGCCCTGGTTTAGTCCTTTTTTAATCCTGGTTTAGCCCTTGTTTAGCCCTGGTTTAGTCCTGGTTTAATCCTGGTTTAGCCCTGGTTTAGTCCTGGTTTAATCCTGGTTTAGCCCTGGTTTAGCCCTGGTTTAGTCCTGGTTTAGTCCTGGTTTAATCCTGGTTTAGCCCTGGTTTACTGGTTTAGCTCCTGTTTTGGTTGTTTTCGAGTGTCTTCTTCCTGTTTAGACCGGCTTGTTTCCCTGTGTCCACTTTGCTGCTCTCTGATTGGTTGCTGCACGTGTCTGGAGCGAGGACTCCCAGTGAATCTCATTTCCTGCTTTCACTGAATGCACCCACCGCCGCAGCGCCGCAACAGCACGTCTGCCGCGCGGGACAAAAGCTTTACACTGAGCTCTCTGTAGCGTGTTGGTGATATATGGACTTTGGGGTTGTGTTGTGGTCATGGGTTTGTATGGGCTCCACTTCATATCATGCACTGATGACACTGTTGGACATTTCCTCTGTTTTTATGTGTTTTTGATGTTTTTGTGCCTTGTGCTGCTCAAATGAACTGCCCCTGGTGTGATACATAAAGTAGCCTGAATCTGAATGGTTTACGCAGCTATCGTGAGGATCCAGGAGCCCGACATTCAACCACATTTATGGACTTCATCAACACATAAGATAAGATAGACTTTGTTGTTCTCACACTGGAGATATTTATGTCACAATCGGCACAGATAGAATCACTCAGATTGTGCAAAAGTAGAAGAGTGCAACAAATTAAGGTTATAGTCTGTGCAGGATATAATTAATCTCAATAAAAAGTGGCAATAAAAGAAAGAGTGGCAATAGCAGTGCACGTTTCTCAGTCCTAGTGCATTATTGACTTAAAGTGACTTATTGTACAGTCTGACAGTGGGGGGGATAAAGGTCTCTGCCCCTCATGGACCAATGGCTCAATCATTGTATTCCCTGTCTTCAAATTGTTTCATTCTCTAATCTGTGTTGGAGAATTCAAGTCAGGTCTTCTGATATAACTACTGTTGTGATTTAGGGAAATACAAAAATACATTGAATTGAATATCTTCCATTTGTCTGGTATAGAAGAACCAAAACCCTTCCCGTATGGTTGGGGCGCCCAGGCCTCACCCCGCCTGCTGCAGTCTGAAGCCCTGAGAGCCCTGGAGGTCTGAGCACGCAGCATTGATCAGAGATGGTAATCTTCACAGGATATGGGGAGAGAGGGAGAGGTCCTCCCAAGGACAGCACAATAAAAGCTGGGATCGATCAGCGCCGCGTTGATCAATCGTTCCCAAGACAGTAACAAGATGTAGGTCTGTGCTAACAAAGGACAAGCCACTCAGCCTTTTCATGTTCATCACCAACATGTATCTACAGCATATACTGTGATACTACACCAGGCAGACATATGCAGGCCGCGAGACCGGATCATACAGGATTCATATGACCATCCATAATAATAATAATAATACATTGGTCTGTCATTATTTTTTCACTCCAAACACTGTGGGGATAAACTACTACTATAGCCACAGCTGCCCTGGGGCACACTGGCAGACAGCAAGGCAACCATCAGCCCCTCCCACCACCACCAACCATTCACACACACACACACACCAGACTCATTCTAATGTGGGTGAAATGTGGTGACAGTTTGGCACTAAACAGCCGCCCCACTGTGGCACCGGGTGTCCCTGCTTAACTTTAGAGGTCTGACGGGATCTGGCTTTCACCTGCAGGTATGGGCACAAGAATACTACTGTAACTTCATGGAAACAGTTCATGGATCAACAACTAAATCTATCTATATGTCACGGCACCTCTGCACACCAGGATTCCTTTGATGAAACTGTTAGTTGTTTAGATAATGTAAGACGTGTTCATAATCAGATGTGGCACAGATGAAGCTGTTTGCCATATGCTCACAACCACGAGCAGCAGGCGGACCGTCGGCACCGCTGTGATGGGAGACTGCTTGAAGCAAGTGGTGAGAACAGTGGCGTCATTGTTGCGACATGAAGAAAGTGAAAACCAGTGGGGGTGGGTCCCGGCGCAAAAATGTCCAAAATGACGTGCACTGACATGCTGCAATACCACCCGGGGCCAGTGGGGGTGGACCCGGAATAAAAAAGAATTAGCCAATGCTTCTTACCTCTCAAAAACCTCTTTACAAGATGGTCCAAAAGTCGCTCTTGGTCCAAAGCTACTTTCCACATGTGTGTCAATGCTGAAGGAGCAGTCTAGTTTTGGACCAGTCTAGTTTAGCCGCTGTGGACTTCAGAATGCACTCGTCAAATGAATGGAGCTCGTGCAGCTGACGTAGGCGCAAATGAGTTTTTCACATTTTCCAGCCAGTTTGAACAGCTTAAGCGGGACTATGTCTGTTATTATTTACAGTTTATTGTGAAAACGTGAGAATAATCTCAGACTAATGCAGGTAAATAATCATATAAAACATAAATATTCAAAGGAATGTTTACTTCGCACAGGTCTTATAGACAAAGAGAGTAATGTCTGCGTTTCTTTGGTTCTCCATTGCTCAATGACCAATGTGTTTCCATTACCCTTTAGTATCTGGTCCCGTATCGTAGCAACCTACCCACAACCAATCTGTGCAAATTCCTGGGTAACCATGGCTCCCAGCAGCACTCTGGCCAATCACTCTCAGTTAGAACACTTTAGTACCAGCTCGGCCTGGATAGAACCAGGACCAAGAGAGACTAAAGAAAGACCTGGTACTGGTTAAAGAGGACCAGAGGAAACACACCCAGTCAGGGGAGAGTAGAGTAGAGTAGATCAGGGGAGAGTAGAGTAGAGTAGAGTAGAATAGAGTACAGTAGAGAAGAGTAGAGTAGATCAGGGGAGAGTAGAGTAGAGTAGAGTAGAGTAGAGCACAGCAGAGTAGAGTAGAGTAGAGTAGAGTAGAGTAGAGTAGAGTAGAGTAGAGTAGAGTAGAGTAGAGTAGAGCAGAGCAGAGCAGAGCAGAGTACAGTACAGTACAGTACAGTACAGTACAGTACAGTAGAGTAGAGTAGAGTACAATACAATACAATACAATTTATTCTTGTATAGCCCTAGGTCACAACAGAAGTCATCTCAGAGGACTTAACAAAACCATTGAAATCACCAACACAGGTCAGAGAATCAACAGTTAAAACACATGAAGAATATAAAGCACACACAGAAGAAAATGTCCATACATGTTGTAGAATGCTAAAGTGTCCTGATCATCACCAATCCTTTCTGTTGGACACTAACTGTCCAACAAGACCCTCCTGCATCGACAAGGAAAAACTCTTAAAAAACCCAGTGGGAAAAAGTGAGAAACCTTGGGGAGCACTAGGGAAACCCACAGGGAGGGAGACCCATATGAGAAAGGGATCCGCTCCTCCGGACGGACAGGCTAATGATCTAGGACCTAAGCTAGCTACAGGACGTGGACCAGTGGCCGCTGAACGTGGACAGGTCCGGTGCAGGACCGAAGCACTCCCAGGCGGGTCGGGCGGGGCAGTCCGCAGGTGCAGATGGAGGAGGCCAGGCTCAGAGATCCCGTCATCGTACCATGAAACAGACAATGGGACAACGGGTGAATAGCAATGAACAAACTACAGTCAGAATCCTAAAAGTGCTAAACAGATAAAGTAGGAAGGAGGAGAGGATAGTGCTCAAGTTACAATACTTCTCCCAGCAAACTGACTCCCTATGCAGCTTGACTGAAAGTCTGAGGAGTTTAGCCTTCCCAGAGTCTTACCTTCCTAGCCATATGCTAAACTAAAGAGGACTGTTTTAAACCTAGCCTTGAATAAAGAGATTCATGGATTGCACACCAGGTGTGCAAACCGATCCAAGCAAACCTAATTATATATTATATATCATATACATCATATATACCATACATACCATATATATCATAAATAATACACAACATAACATACAGCATAATATATAACATAATATACAACATAACACAATACATTATTGTATAATATATAACATAATACAGCATACATATATAATATATACACCATATATTACATATTACCTAATTATATGCTAAATTAAAGTAAAGTGCTTTAAGCCTGGCCTTGAATGTGGAGACCGTATCTGCTTCCTTAACATAAATGGGAAGCTGATTCCACAGTAAAGGAGCTTGGTAGCTAAATGCTCTGCCACCAACAGTGACCTTTGAGACCTTAGGGACCACCAGACGTCTGGCGTTTTGTGAGCGCAACGCTCGACTTGGTTGATACGACACTAACGTGTCTTGGAGATAAGAAGGAGCCAAGCCATTTATGGCTTTATATGTTAAGAGAAGGATTTTAAACTTTATTCTGTACTCCACAGGGAGCCAGTGGAGTGATTTTAACACCGGAGTTATGTGCTCCCTCCTTTTGGTACCTGTTAAGATCCTAGCTGCTGTATTCTGAACGAGCTGGAAGCTCTTCAAAGACGCTTTAGGGCACGCTGCCAATAAAGCGTTACAGTAGTCGAGTCTTGAGGTGACAAACGCGTGAATGAGTTTTTCCGCGTCACTTTTAGGAAGGAAATTCCTAATTTTAGCGATGTTCCGTAGGTGGAAGTACGCCGTTTTAGTTGCTTGGCTTATATAAGCCTTGAAGGAGAGTTCTTCGTCAAAAATGACTCCAAGATTCCTCACAGTGTCACTGGGTACAATACTGACACCATCGAGAGTAATTATCTGGTTAGTAAGGGAGTCACGCAGGCGCATCGGACCGAGTAGGATCACTTCTGTCTTCTCCGGGTTGAGAAGTAGGAAGTTAAGAGTCATCCACATTTTAAGGTCCTTTATGCAGGCACTGAGCTTTTCCAGCTGATCTGTCCTGATTTGGCTTCATCGACAGATAAAGCTGTGTGTCATCTGCATAGCAGTGGAAATTAATTCCATGCTTTTTAATAATGTTTCCTAATGGCAGCATGTAGAGAGTAAAAAGAATCGGTCCGAGTACCGAACCCTGCGGCACACCGAATTCTACTCCAGAATAAGGTGACGAGTTCTGATTTACGTTGACGAAGTGATACCGATCTGATAAATAGGATTTAAACCAGCCAAGGGCTGTTCCTCTAAGACCTATATCACATTCTAGCCTCTGCAGTAGAATGCTGTGGTCTATTGTGTCAAATGCAGCACTAAGGTCCAGTAGGACCAGCACTGACACTTGTCCATTATCGGCAGCTAGTAGTAAGTCATTTGTGACTTTGACTAGTGCCGTTTCAGTGCTATGATGAGCTCTGAATCCTGATTGAAAGACTTCAAACATATTATTTTCCTGCAGAGTAGAGTAGAGTAGAGTAGAGTAGAGCAGAGTAGAATAGAGTACAGTAGAGTAGAGTAGATCAGGGGAGAGTATAGTAGAGCAGAGTAGAGTAGAGTAGAGCACAGCAGAGTATAGTAGAGTAGAGTAGAGTAGAGTAAAGTAGAGCAGAGCAGAGCAGAGCACAGTAGAGTAGAGTAGAGTAGAGTAGGGCAGAGCACAGGAGAGTAGAGTATAGTATAGTATAGTAGAGTAGAGTAGAGTAGAGTAGAGTAGAGTAGAGAATAGTAGAGTAGAGCCCAGTAGGGATGGTGGAAACAGGGCTTAAGAAAGTGTATTTTCACCTGTTGTTTTTGCCACACATGATTATTATTATCATTTTCACATTATTTTGACCAAGGAAGTTTTACAGGATAATTTAATCTCAAGGCATTAGGAACGTACCATGGCACACTGGTTGAAAAACACTGGTCTAAAGACAGTGATGACGATCCAGGACACATTCAAAGACATTTATAGACATCTAAAAACATTTATGGACAGTGGTCACCCGCCCCTTATGGACCAATGGCTCTATGTGTTTTTTAAAATCATTGCGTTTACTGTTTTTGATTTTCAGATCTGTGTTGGCGAATCGACAACTTTGCAAAGTCCTCAGAGATAACTACTGCTGTGATTTAGGGCTGCCCAAAAAACACCTTGTATAGAATCAAAGAACACACTCCTAGTCACATGCAGCAGACAAAGGCCGCTCCGGTCCCAGGCAGACGCAACTCCTCCTCAGCCTTTTCATGCGACAATTGACACGTTTTTGTGCATCAATTATAGAAGCCATTCCTGCTGTAATACTCTCAAACGGGAGCAGGCATCTGTTGACAACACTCAGGACCCATTATGCACATTCCTGCGCACGGCACGGCATTGGCACGTTGCGCTGTCACTCACCAGCGCCCGCCCCGCCTCCTCGCTCCCCATTGGCGTCGCTATTAGCCGTTCAGAGTCGGTCGCAGCGAATGGGAGAGGTCCGGGGGGCGGTGACACAGACTGGATCGGACCCTCACTCTCTCTCAGTGCCACTAGAATCCCCCGAGCGAGCAGCAGACAACGCACCCGGACGCAGCGGTTCCATTTTGGGGTCTTTTTACGCTGCGAACTCACTCACGATTGATAGTTTTTGCAGCGGGGATAACAGCATTCTACACACGCGGAGGAGCGAGGCGAGGGATTTGTGATTTAAGTTTTTGTTTTTTTTTCTTTTTGAACCTTTTTTTGGAGGTTCCGCGCAGAGGATTTCTTTCTTTCTTCCCAGCGGTGGTTTGTGAGATTCGCTTTCGCCGCAAACATGATGGTCGGAGAGGTGGAAGTGAAGGAGAGACCGAGGCCGAGTCCAGACTATCTGATGCAGCTTTTAAACGAGAAGAAGCTCATGACCAGTCTGCCAAATCTGTGTGGGATATTCACGCACCTGGAGCGGCTGCTGGACGAAGGTAAGCCCGGGCAGCCGTGGACGTGTCTGGGGGAATGCGTGTCCGGGGGCGCGCGGGGGTCCCTCTGCCGCGATAGGAGACGCAGACACGGGCAAAAACAGCCTAAAAACAACCAAGACTGGGGTCAGACCTTGTCCAGATAGTACAGTTTCGCCTTTAAATCCAGCCTAAAAATAATTGCATGTGTCAGAACTATTCCTAATGCAACAGTTGTGCAGCTTACAGCATGTGGACTTCTTGTATCGCATTTAAAACAGAATATTCCACACACTTGCATGTTAATTTAGTTGGGGTTAAGTGTATATATAATGTGTATGTATTGAAGGAGGTCACAATGGTGTTCTTTATACCCACCAAGAGCACAGATTCAGGGGCATACCTCAAACCAAGCGTGGTCCTCGTCTAAATAAGTTTTTTTTTGAGTTCTAAAATCCACGCGTGAGCAAATACACGGACTGTATGATTAGAGTAGTGTAGTTGTGCTGTGTGTGAAGCAATGCAATGTCACTGTTTTTGCAGATAGTTTGAAGTGTGTCGCAAGAATACGCGTTTCCAGTTTTGTTTTTGTTGAGACTATTCGGAGCAGCTTTTTTTTTTTTTTTTACTTTGTATTTGGGCAAAAACCGCTATAATTCGTCCTATAATGGTGACCAGAGACCGTGGATAAGCACACACACGTACAATGGACTACTTATTTAGTGACACAGATAAGTTTGTTTACCACAGCATGAGGCGATGCAGTCATGAGGCTAACCCAGTGTCGTGAGGCTAAACTCTCTCCCCACTCTTTCCTTCGACTTGTAGCGACATGCTAACAGAAACCTGGGCTTTTCTACTCTCACACATAGAGACAGATGATATCCCTGGAGTATAGACTAGTTGTTAGACGAGTTTAGCGTAGTTTGGCCCAGTTTGGCCCAGTTTGGCCCGTGTGTGTGTGTGGGGTTACGCAGGGCACATGTTGTAGCTTGAGTTAGCCACATGTTGGGCTAGCAGCGCGCGTGGACCCGGGGTGTCTCTGGAGGAGGCATGAGTAACGGTTAACGGTTACTCTCAAACGGCAGAGAAAAGACACTTCTTTTTAGCCATTTTGTGAAACGCATTTATGGTACTCGTCTGTACCAGGGGCTTTATGGTCACCTGGTATCGGAATGTGCTGCCTGTTGACTACTCAGGAAAAAATCCCTTGAAAAAATTAGAACAAAAATATATGATAGTAAATGAATAATGCTTAAAATAAGAAATTGTCTGCGAATAGAAAAATAACTTTTGACGTGACAAGATTTCTGAAAATAAGAAAATAATACTTTCCCCAAATGACTTTATTCTAGTATAACCACATACATTTCAAGTATTATCTACTCATTTATTAAACATGTTTGAGAATTCTTTTCTTAAAACACAGTGCAACATACTTTATCTAAACAACAATAAAAGTTGTCTGGAAATAAGAAACAAATACTGAAAACAAGCTGCTACTAAAAAATAAGCATCATTTGTTTTTTCAGTGTAAATAATCGCAATACCCATGCACTAGGAGAACTTTTCTGACTGCTTTACATTGGCTCATAGTTTAGTAATATATTTGCAACTGCATCGGCTGATAATGTAACGTCATGATGTAATGTAATGCAGCCGAGGCTCCAAATCCCCTTCTGTTGGACTAATAAAGCCTCCATTCATTAATCTAACAATGCCACTCAAAGTAATAGTTATTCTTTTAATCGTTTTCAACATAAACTATAATTATGGCTCATTAAAGCTCCACCATGTAACTGCATAATGGACTATATAGAAAGAAAGAGAGAAGGAAATAAAGAAAAGGACATGTTCAGTTAAATGTATTTTTGTGTAGCCCTAAATCACAAAAGTAGTTCTCTCCGCCATCGCGGATCCAAATCAAGCAGTTCAGACACAAGAAATTCAAGGATAAAAAACACTTTGGTCCATAAGGGGCAGATGACCAATGTCCATAAATAAATGTATGTGTATTTATTGTGAGAAAGCTTTCCAGTAGACATAACTGACCTGTAATTTCTATGGAAATGTTCCTTTTGGATGTCATCTACCACAATATATAAAAGACTAAACTAATTTTGTTCTATTATTTACATTTTCAACCTTGCAGCTTCCCCTACATTCTCTGCTCCGTACTATAGACTATAGTCGCTGGTACACAGGGGGTTTATGGTCACCAGCGCAGGAATGTGCTGCTTGTTGCCCAAACAATGGCCATGCACAGAGCGAGCAGCCGCATGGGAGGGAGGACGAGGGAGGACTTTCCGCTCTTATCCCGTCTCCTACCGGGGCTGCCACCTCCTGTACGGTGCCTCAGACCCCGGCCGCTTATGGAGCCTTTCATTTTACAGTGCGTTCCACAGATCCGCTGCGGCAGTGCATGTGCGCGCCAGCCAAGTGAACCAAAACCGCCTCGTCGCATTTCTGTCCAGCCGCGATGTGCGCTGTCTGCCGGTTTGGCACGGATAAAAGAGCTCTTATGTTGCCGTATCGATGGTTTAAGCCTGGATAAGCACAAGGTTGGACCCTGGCTTTATGTAACGGAGTGGGGGGGATGGCGGACGCACAACCCCCTGGAGATGCACACGCTCAAAACACTCCAATTTAACCGTTCTTTATGATTATTGACTCTCATATTAAACAAGCAACGACCGTATCTTGTTTTGATTCAGTTCAATTTATTCTTGCACAGCCTTAAATCACAACAGCAGTTATCTTGGAGGACTTTGCCAGCGTCAACACAGATCAGGGAATCAAACAATTTTTAGGAAATGCAATGATATTAAAAAAACACAGAGCCCCATTGGTCCATAAGTTACAATTTGTCAAAGCTGTGGGCGACTCGATGGCAGTATTAGAGCTCTCTGAACATGGATACAGTTCAGTTTGTGTGAAATATAATTCTGTAGAACTTGAATGGACCTGATTTTGCCTCTAGAGATATTTTCGTGCGGGTCCACATTTACAACGCTGAGATGGTTGGGGCCAAAAGTATTAAAGTGGTTTTCTTTTATCATCATGTCTTTTTACATATTTTTGTACATGAGTTTAGATATTTTCTGGTAAGTTTGGTTTCAACCACAATTGCGCCAAATATCAAGAAGGGATTCCATTGAAGATTTATTGTTAGGATTATCTACTTCCAGGTGGATCATCAAGACTATTGGTCCTCCCATGTGTCAATCACTGCTCATCAAATAAGACCAGAAAGTTTGGTTCGAAAATGGGAGAGGGCGTTTCGTTCCTAAAATTTGGGAACATGCTCCTATATACTTTAACTATAAAAAATACATCTTTGACATGCCTGCTCTAGAGAAATCAAATTTAATATTCAAATCAATCAATTCAATGAGATGTATTAGGAAACAGCTGCGCAGAAAGGGAACTGCTGAAGACATCTACATCAATTCCAAAACTGACATCAATCAGGACTGTAATCATTCAGAAAAAAACACTTTCTGAACTCTGTTAATTCCCTTGAGTTCCTAATGTGTCCTTCTATCTCTCTCTATCTGTAATCGACAACCTGGCGTTTATCACAAAGCTACGTTCAAACTACAGAAGCCGTACCTGCCTTTATGTCAGTCATGGCGGCCACAGGGTCATAAAATCATTAAGGCGGCAGTGGATAAGATTAAGATAAACTCAAGGCCATAAACGTTTTGAACTGTGAAAGGGCATAATAACATTGCGTCGCTCTTCGTCCACTGTCGAATAGTGGACGAACTGTGATTAAATTCAATTCCATTTTGGTAAAGTCCTCCGAGACGACTGCTGTTGTGATTTAGGGCTGTGCAAAGTTGTGGATTACTACGAACAGATCAGAGAATCAAACACAACATGCAATAATAGCAAACGCATAGCAGCCATTGGTCCATAGAGAGAGTGATGGAAACTGTCCAGAGATGTCCTTGCTTAGCGCTGGGAGGTTTGATGCACCGGGAACGCCTTCTTTTCTCCATCTGAAAATTTTTCGCAATTTCATCAACAGAAAATTATAAAAAAAACAAAGCGGAAAAGCTCAGAAGCTCTCTTGACTTAAAGTAAAAATTCTTCATTATCGTGGGGGACTCTATTCGACCCCTCTCGGCTCTTCATCAAGGCAAGTGGCAAGGCAATTAAATGGTGACAGTTTGGCCAAAAATTATACTCCAAGATTCTATCGTCGTAATATGAAACTCGGGTGGTGGTCTTAATCTGCCCCTGAACAGAATTATCTTGTAAAATGTCTTCCATTTGACTCGGCCTCCAATTTCTAAACTACTGTTGGAGCCAGTATTGGGGCAAATTATAGTCCTTTCTTTTGAGTATGGGGCACTATGACTTTCCTGTAGTTCCTACGGAGTGGAGTACGCAACACAATGAGCGGTTTAACAATACAAAAATAGCATTGTTTTTGTTCTGTCCCCGACAAAAGCCCAGATATTTATCACAGACAGACAAACCCAGGGCAAAAAGAGCATAGGGCTTTCGACTGCTGCCAGCATTCTCCTCACAGTAGTGGTTTTGAATGTGCTTGCTTCATATCTCGGGGTGTGTGTCTTTCTGTGTGTGTGTGTGTGTCTTTCTGTGTGTGTGTGTGTCTTTCTGTGTGTGTGTGACGGCTGCAGAGTCATGGAGCCAGAATGTGCTGTTGAACCGGTCGGGGAACATTTCTAGTCTTCTTGGACGCGATAACCTCCACGTGTAAATGATAATAGGCCTGTTGTATCTGCAGCCCGTCTAACAAGCCAAACACCAAATCAAAGTGACTTGAAATGTGTAGGACTTGGGTCAACATGTCATGATCACGGTGACATTTCTCAGCTTAAAAATTAACACAAATACCAATACGGCCGTGGAGCAGGGACACAGAATGCACAGGACTTTCTCCCCCAACTCTGGGTTAGAAGCCCTGGTTAGAATGTCTTTTTAATAGTCGTTATTGCTTGTTTGGATTCACACTGATGTCCCATGGTTGCAATATATATATATCTCTCGCGATTCGATTATCGATATGCATTTGCCAAGTATCGATATCGATTTTGAAAAATTCAATTTTTTACTATTTTTATTTTTTTGAATTGGTATCAATACTTAATATATGGCTACATTACGCATCTCCATTCCATTTATCATGAAACAAAGTGTATTTTTTCTTTTATTTATGCCATAAATTGGCATATTGTATATTTCTGGCCAATATATCACTAATCGTCATATCGCGATAATATCGTTATTGTGATATCGTTATCGTGATAATATCGTTATTGTGAGCTTTGTATCGTATCGTGAGGTACCCTTAGGTTCCCACCCCTTATTTATATATATATATATATATTAAAATACATTTGCTTCTCATATATATATATATATAAAGTAATTTCTGCAGATTTGGCTGTTATAATGAATTGAATGTTGGAGATGTGAGATTTATAATATTTGTATTTTATTTTAGTAGTTATTGTTCATTTCTCTTGTGCGGTGGGAATTGTCGTGCTAATGTTGCAGCAATAGGAGTTTGTCATGACATTAATTGTATGTACTGTGTCTGAGCTGAGGGTTGGTGGTTCAAATCCTGCTCGTGTGCGTCTCTATCCCTCTCTGTCTCTGTCTGTCTCTCTGTGTGTCTGTGTCCCTGTCTGTGTGTGTCTCTGTGTGTGTGTGTGTGTGTGCGTACACCAGTTGCTTTGTAGTGCATCTGCTAGCTCCATTCAAGTCAGGAAGTCCACTTGTTTTCCTTTCCTTCCTCCGCTAACCGTATCCTCCCCCTAAAGTCAGAGCTGCAGGAGGCGGGGCCTGGGTGTTTACACGGAGAGGAATCCACGCAGAATACATTTGCTCAACAGAACAGGGAACGCATAATTGGATGTTTTCTCTGACAAATGCCACAGCTGCGATTACATTTGTGATTTTGGTTGATGCTTTCAGATTCAGAAGTTATGAAAGAAGTGCAATCACGGAGTCAGGGATAACGTCTCACCACCAACCATCAAACATGTACAAAGTGATTTAGTAAAGTTGGTTGTAAAGATCAAAATTTCTGGAATCCTGCTTTTGACTTTATTTGTATAAACTGACATTTGTGGAGGATTGTCATTCGGAGGACTTCAGCTTTGTGATGTAGCTAGTTATAGCCCTGTGTTATAGCAATTATCTCCTATAAAACTAGCTAAATATTTCTGTTTATTGTCTATATACACTTTTTTGATTTTCACCTCAGTACATTTTAGGGGAAGTGGCAAAAAATTTGACTATTCGATAGTGATCCGATATTTGTGCCAAGGCAAGTTTATTTGTATAGCACAATTCATACACAAGGCAATTCAAAGTGCTGAACAAAAATAAGAAAGCATTAAAATCATAAATAATCACAGTACGTTAAAAAGAAAGATAGAAATATAAAATATAAAATCCCTCAGTTGTATGCACAGCTAAACAGAACTGTTTTTAACCTGGTTTTAAACATTGTCAGAGAGGAGGCCTGTCTCACATCTTCAGGAAGACTGTTCCAGATTTTAGCAGCATGAATCTGAAAAGCAGCCTCCCCATGTTTAGTTCTGACTCTGGGCACTAACAGGAGTCCAGTCCCTGTGCTCCTCAGAGTCCCAGCAGGAGTCCAGTCCCTGTGCTCTTCAGAGTCCCAGCAGGAGTCCAGTCCCTGTGCTCCTCAGAGTCCCAGCAGGAGTCCAGTCCCTGTGCTCTTCAGAGTCCCAGCAGGAGTCCAGTCCCTGTGCTCTTCAGAGTCCCAGCAGGAGTCCAGTCCCTGTGCTCCTCAGAGTCCCAGCAGGAGTCCAGTCCCTGTGCTCTTCAGAGTCCCAGCAGGAGTCCAGTCCCTGTGCTCTTCAGAGTCCCAGCAGGAGTCCAGTCCCTGTGCTCTTCAGAGTCCCAGCAGGAGTCCAGTCCCTGTGCTCTTCAGAGTCCCAGCAGGAGTCCAGTCCCTGTGCTCCTTAGAGTCCGGGCTGGTTCATATGGGACTAACATGTCACAAATGGCGCTTTTCCACAGCACCGGCACTACACCACTCTACACGACACGTCACGACCCGGTCGAGTACGCGTGCTTTTCCACATATCTCCATCGGACATCTTCAAGTGGGTGGGCTTTTCATACCACCGCTACCGCTACGCCATTTCCGCGCGACTCACGAGCATGAAACCAGGAAAAACATTACATCCTCAAAGTCCTCCATAGATACCACTACAGAGACCGCTAACTTTTAAAAATGGGTTTCAGCACTTGCTCGCATTGCACAAAAATAGTGCTGGTCCCATTCTGTACAATCTGAATGGGACCTTTAGCAACAGCGGCCTGTGTAGCAGAGCATGCATGTCCGAGGATACTGCTAGGCTATAGCTAATGCTAGCGCTAGCTCGAGACTCAGCTCACTCACTAACCCTGGATTCCAAAGCTACTACAATACTACACTCAACACATCCATCACTACCATCAGAGGAGGATCCGGGGTTTAAATTCGTCATATGGCAACTCGAGCAGTAAAGGACCGAGGGAGAGACAGCCATAGGGGTAGCGAGTTGGCGGCTAAGCTAGGCTAAGCTAGGCTAGGCTAGTCCGGACTCGGGTCCGGACTACAGCAGACTCCGAGACCAGACAAACAATCGATACCCAAACCTCAGATACAATTATAATAAATGAATGAAACACAGTCTTGATACAATCACAAATTTATTGAAAACAAAAGTAAAGTGCAAAACCAACAGTTTACAAAGTCAAAAGTACGTATGTGTGAGACCAGATGAGGAGAATAATCCGGTCACTCATTACTCGTTGGTAATCTCCACACTTATGGGAAGGGATTCTCAAACAAATATACACTCGACAACTTAAATACAAGCACAAAACAGAATGACAACATGTGAATACTGCAGATAAGAGATAAAGCACAGTAGCACAGGGAGCACGTTAGCTTAGCTGCTATCGATAGCTAAATGAAGCTAAATGTAGCTAGCTCACTGTGTACAACAGACAATCGAACATTTACACAGTAAATACATTTCAGTGAGAGCTTTAACGGGATTTGTAGCTAGCCAGTTATTTCAGGATTACCACAGACTAGTCACAAATCCAGAGCTGGTGATCTCCTGAAAACTGTTGAGCCTCGAGCTGCCTTTGAATTCTTTCTTTGGCCTGAAGAGAGGAACGTGTGGACCTCTTCCACCGACCAGGACCAGGACTTTTGGGGCTTTCTGTGCAATTCCATTTCTCTGGAGTGAGGAGGACGTAATGTAGCCGAAGCAGAGCCGAGCAGCCTGTTTTAAAGATGGCGGTTGAGTTGTTTTTCCCAAAGGGTCAGAGGTCGCGTCCAGTGACGACACTCGTTGACCAATCAGCGTAGGCAGTCCGCTTACGTCACGAGCGTGTAGCTTTTTGGAACCGCTCCAGAGGCGGTCCGAAAATAGAACACAATACCTAGCTTCAACGCTAGTGGAAATGCAAAAGTAACGCGCCGTGTCGTGTAGAGTGGTGTAGTGCCGGTGCTGTGGAAAAGCGCCATAATATATTTTGGAGCGAGACTTGTAACAAGCAGAGCTGTTTTAAAGTCTATTCTCTGAGCCACAGGAAGCCAGTGCAGAGACCTGAGAACTGGACTAATATGGTCGTACTTCCTGGTTCTAGTCAGGACTAATGTGGTCGTACTTCCTGGTTCTAGTCAGGACTGGTTCTAGTCAGGACTCGAGCCGCTGCATTTTGAATGTACTGCAGCTGTTTTACAGCCTGTTTGGACAGACCTGTGAGCAGGCCATTGCAGTAGTCTAACCTACTTCATGTCCCTCATATTATTCAAACACTTTACAAAAACTGAAGAAAATAAAACTCAACTCAAATGTGGCATCTATTATGATCTGTAGACATCAAAGTCATAACAAGCAGACATTATATTGTTGAGTAATGATTGCAAAATACTCTCTCCTGTATTTGGATGAGCAAAATATCATGATACTGCACAGATTCAATTTTCCCCCACCACGAGTACATTTGTCACCTCTCTTCTGCTCACAGCTCTATTTTCCTCTTGCCTTTGAAATGTGGCAGTATGTAACGCGTTGCTGCCACATTCATCACGGCTCAACGTCTTGACCCCGTTTCCACGACGACACCCTAAACTACACCCACTTGTGGAATACTACGAGCGCGCGTGATGCAATCTGGACCGGGTTAGAGGCCCCAGCTGACACGCAGGCCCACCCTTCTCCAGCTCCCACCCTAAACTCACTCCCAACTCTGCTATTCGCCTCATGAGGGAAATATGTGTTTTCTCTGTGTGAGAGTGTGCTCAGTGCAGATGGAGGCATTTCACAAGACACAGTGACAGATTCCGTGCATCCTGTAGCACCGACAATAGCCACACCTTTGACATTTTTCAAACTGTTTGCAGCCCAACTTTATGGTGGTTTGGTTTGTCGCCACAGGTTTATTATGTGAGAATGGTGAGACAGAAACTAGACTGTGGTTACTTCTTTAAAGCTGGGTGGAACACACAGCGAGAATTTCTTTTAGAACATGACAAACCCCCTGATGATTCTCTCATATCTCGAGAGCCTCGAGAGCGATCAGGCCTCGTCAGAGCAGAACTCCTGACCAGGCGGTGGCAGCGGCATATCAAAGAGTTTCCATGAAATCGCAGGCCCCTTTGTGGCATGTGTTCCGTGCGACAGCTGCACAGCCTTGCCCCCTCAGTTTAAAGTCTCTATCAACCCGCCGTGCCACTTGGTTTTACTGTGGTCGCCCATCCAGACGAACAACTGGTACGGCCCCAGTAAAGGCGCCTGCATTGGATGACTCAAGGTGGGATAGAACTTCTAATCTTTGGGTGTTATTACAGACCCTGAGTCCAAATACATGTATACAGTTTATTGTGTCTCCTTATGATTAAGACTTAACGTAAAGAAGCAAAGGTGGAAGGAAGTTTACTGCTAAAACGCGACGTCATTAATCAGAACTATATTTTTTGCACTTTAGTCGTCTTATAAGAACCTTCTAAGCCTCAGACCCGAAGTCGAATTAAAAACCCGTCACACCTACAAGACAGTAACAAACAAACAGTGACGACTTAGAAAGACAGCCATCCCAGAGTCTCCACGTCTTGGACTGAAATAGAGCAGCACTCAACCTGATCTTTGCCAACACCAATGTTATTACATTTCTGACTTGTTTAGTCGACAGATAAACATACATCAGGGTCTATGGGCTCGGCCTGTATACTCTTCAATACGGTTTGTCATGGAAGGTACAACATTGGGCAAATCATGTGAAAAGAAACTCAAGGTTTTAACTTTCAACAACTGAGGCCAGAATGAGGTCACTTCTGTTCCCCGCCTCTCCTTCCACAGTTGTCCATGTCTACACAGCTGTTTCCAGTCGCAGGGGGGAAAACCGACACCCCACACCCCTGATCCAAGGTCACTTTGGCCTAGTCCGCAGCCCCTCTCCCCCCTTACACACACACCCACACACACACCTTTTGGAAATCCTCTCGCAGTTACTCATCTCCACACGGTGACATGCTTCCGCGCTGGAGTTTCTTCTTCTTTTACGATGTGCCAGCCCGACAAGCCGCTTCAAATCGCTATATTTTCTCCCAGCAGCAGCAGACAGCCCATATAACATCCGCAGCGCTCAAGACTTGTAAGTTAGTCGGGCGGAGAAGAAAAGAGCTTTTTTATCTGTTGTGGAAAGGCTTTCTCTGACTGACACATTGCTATTCCTCTCCCTTTTAGTTATTTTTTGTTACACAGCAGAAGGTAAATATGCATTCCAATCATTCAGGAGCTGAATCTATATGCGAGTGATTCGTGTTTGGCTGTCAAAATCGTTTCTTGGCCTAGAAATGACATCGACTGCTGCAATAATGTAGCTAAGTGCTTTACTGATTTGTACCACGGTTTTCCCCTCAAAGCTTCCAGTGTAGGCAGCCATTTTAGTTCGACGTTATGGGACTAGATCAGAGCTGTCAAACTGGCTCCAGAAAAGGGTTTCATTCCAACCAAGCACACCAGACGCTACCCATTTCCTCAGGTTAAGACCGAACTCGCTTGAGTAAATGGTTGGAGACTGGTGTGCTCCTGATGTTGGAATGAAAACCCGAAGCCCCACGGCCCTTTGAGGACCAGTTTGAAGGCCCTCGACTAGATTCTAGCAACATCATAATTCAAGAACCCTGAGCATGATTTGTCTTCAATTTGCTCTACGGTAACATGATCATGAACATGTTGGGGTTTATTGTTTGATCATTTTGTGTTGTGAAAAATCAGACTAAAGACCAGGCCACCGCCACCTCCTACTGGTGACAGAGGAAATTACAACACTCAATGCAAGCCATCTAAAACCTGTTGCTCTAGTTATTTGAATATAGCATGCAAGCTAAAACTAGCTCCTACTTTTGCTGCCAGGACAATTTTATTTTTATGTAGTTCTAAATCACAACCGTTAAATTGGAAGACTTACAAAACTGTTGATTCGCCGACGCAGATCAGAGAATCACTCAGTTCAGACACAGGAAATGCAATGATAAGAAACACATAGAGCCATTGGTTCATAAGGGGCAGAGACCAATGTTCATAAATACTGATAAAGTCCATAAATGGTGGTGAATTTTGAGTGTCCTGGATCATCGCCACTGTCCTCAGACCCTCCTGCACCTGAAAAGAAAAACTGGGGTTAAAGATAAATTGTGTTATTGCAGTATAGGTTTGAGTCCATGTCTCCAGACTCCTCTCGGATCACATGGATGCGAGAGGAGCTGTTAGTTCATCACTGGACCCAGCTCTTTGGCCCTCGCTCCCCTGTGCCTCACCCCTGACCCTCGATCAATCCTGGACTAACAAGAACCAGCAGCACTGAGCTCTGCAGCAACGTCAAAACCCACAGACCACTGACACGACTGCTCCCAGATCTGCTCCCTCCTATCTGCTTCTTTTCACTCTCCATCCGAGCCTTCAGTGCTCAGAAAATGTCCATTTCCACCTACCACTTTACGTGACTTCCTTGTGATTATTGTAAACATTCTGTGGTCGACCTTGATGGGTTCAACTGTAACGTTGCCATTTCTCAAATGGAAAAAAAAACCTTTTAACAAGACCTACAACATGTACACTTTTAGAAAATAAAATGTATAAAGGCGAAAGAGGAGCAGAATAAGCAGTGTATGCACCTGGTGTTAGTGTGACTGGAGCTAAAAGCAGCTGCAGGTCTGTGTTTGAGAGGAAGGATGTTGGAATATGCTTAAAAATCAAGGATTTGGGTCTAATGTGTCTAGTAGCTACTGTTCCTTGTTCAAGACCTCAAGTAGAGCTGGTCCGGTCCAGAGAGGAGAGAGACGGGAGAGACGCCAGGGTCCAGGCCAGGGTCCAGTCCAGGGTCCAGTCCAGGGTCCAGTCCAGGGTCCAGTCCAGGGTCCAGTCCAGGGTCCAGTCCATTTAATAGAGCTGGTTTATTGTGTGTTAGTCCATGTCGGAGAGTGTTTGCGCTGGCCTCTCTATCTGCGGTCCCTGCTGTCTGGTCCTGCCGCCCGCTCTGCCAGATAAAGCCATCCCCCGACAGCTGCAGGGGCCTTATCTCTGGCCCGGATCCCATGGGTGCTGTCTCTTATCACCTCCGCCCTAACCTACCGTCTCTGGCTTTACGTTGGCTTCTGTCGTAATCTCGCTACAGCCCCAAACCTCCACGCATTCACCGTTCCATTACCACAACTGGCAAACGGTAAAGTCATGTTTTAGTTTAACCGTAATTATATGAGTTTGAGACACTTGGAGGTGGAAAAGCAGATGAGATTTCCGCAGCTGTCCTCAAACACGTTCAACACAAAGCATTCTGAGTGGGAGGAGTCATGGCGGACAACGGTGTGGATGTTGCTAAAAACGATATCGTCTGTTTTGGATGAGTTGAGTTTCTCCCGTCTTGAAAAGAATGTGATGCTTGTAATTTTATCAACATTCATGGACATTGGTCCCTTACTTAATTTAGTTTTATTCTTCATCATTGCATCTCCTGTGTTTTGAACGGTTTGATTCTCAGATCTGTGTTGGAGAGTTGACGGCTTGTAACTACAAGCTAACTAATACAAAGAGCTAAAACTCACTATGAGGGACAAACCGAAACCTTTTTGGTCCAACTGCAACTCGTTTTCCTTCTTTGGTCTTGGCCACTGAGGAGTTTGGAGTGTGACTGAGGTTGACTTCTTTTATTTTATTTTTTTGAATGGAAAGTGCACATTAATCAAGTGTCATAAAGGACATCATAAACATCATAAAAAGACAGATACCGAGTTCAAACCGGGGTCTTTAACACAGTGACTGAGCGGAGGCTTGTTTGTGGATAACTGAATAGTATTATCCATCATTTGCAAATAAATAATTTTAATATCAGTGATTTTTCTGGATTTCCACCTTATCTCTTGAGTCTCAGGACGACTTGCAGAATTGGTGGCCGACTAAATCCCCCCCCCCCTTTTCTATGGATAATAAATTGAACATTCTGACGATGCTACCTTTTTTTAGTGTCCGTAATGACTCCAGATGTGCCGCAGCCTTCGTCAGAGCCACCCAGTCAGAAACCGCGCTGTAAAAGTGCATCTGGATTTAAATTGGCCTTAAAAACTGAGAGCTTCCAGACTGTAGGGTTTACTGCTAACGTACGTCAAGATGGATGCCGTGGAAGTGCCTGGAACGCTCTGGAACTCTTTAAGTCCTCACATTAAACTGAACTCTGACTGGGCTGGTTCTCAACACAAACTGAAACGAACCAGTTGTGCGAGCATCAATGAGTTTGGCCTTTGTACTGTGTGTATGCAACAAAGTATAATGTGTTTTTCTAAGCTGCTTCTAGGGACGAACACTGCAAATTAGCTAAAATGTTGTAGTTTTTCACATGTTGACTGTGTAACACTTGTCTCTATCAAGTACAGTATCTATGGAAGTACTCTGACTTCATTTAGAGTTGTTTTGGCTACGCGGCCTCTCGTACGGCCGTGTGGATGACATCACTAATCATTCCACCACATGTGATATTCTGAGGCGAGCACCGAGCCCTGCCCTGCCACATTCCTGGAATACCTCCTCCTCCTCCTCCTCCTCTTCTGCGCTCCTCACACACTTCCCCTTTTGTGCACGCTCGCTCTCCGCACAACTGTCACAGCGCACACAAAAGACCAGCGTTCCAGCAGCACTCTGTCAGCTTTTATTTGACTGCCGAGCCGAAAGGTTGTCTGTGGTATTGATATATGTGAAAGTATGTGTCGTGCAGGTTTGAAATAAATCATCTCACTGTACAAATGTTGAATGAGCCATATTGGACCAAAAACAAATCTAAATAGAGCTGCAAAGTGTCTTTTATAAGCCTTATAATGAAGATACTTTATGTTGTATGTGTCTGTATTAGCTTTATTAGCCTAGCATAGCCCTGTGAAAGGCGCTTATTCATGTTTAACTTCCCTGCAATGCGTGGAGAGACACAGCATGTGACTCTGAAATGATAGTTTAAACTTAAAGCACCGTCGCACAGCAAATGCTTAAATTGTCCATTGATCACAATTGGAAAAACTGTGAGGCAATATTTGGGCCACAATTGATTATTATTGTGATTCTTGACACATTGAAATACAGTCTTGTGATTTGATTCTGTGAATAAGACTTTACAGACATAGAGGAAAATAAGATTAAGAATCAACCCCCCCAACACCACTGTCCCTTTAACTGGACCCTGAGACTATGGAGACTCTGGACTGGTGCCAGACTACAGTGACTGTCGCCGTCCGGGTCTTCAGCTCGAGTTGTCGCTGCTGCAGAATCACAGCGAAATGAGCTGAAGCGTGGATCAGACCTGCTTCATATTTGATGAGCAGAGAGTGAGTGGCCCCCGCAGTGGCCCCGTCCTCTGGCCCTGGGGGGGAGCCGAGGTGGGCCAGGAACAACACGCGCTGCTCTGGGACCGCTGAAATATTCATGTGGGATTTATTGGTGCGACTGGCTCAGGCGGCGGGCCAAAGACCGCGGAGAGGCATCCACACGCTGCACACTGGGTTTGAAGGTGACCCATTATGCAAACATGGCTTCTAAAACACTTATTGGAGCGACATGCTAACCTTGTGAATCCCAGGATACAGTCTACTCCAGTGTTAGCAGCTTGTAGACAAAACACAACATGTTTTCATGTGTGCGAAGACTTTAATAACTGCAGTCCTGTCCAGCTCCCAAAGGCCACCTCTCAGAATCAGTCTATTCAATTCGATATTTTTTTTTCGATAGCCCTGAATCACAACAATAGTTATCGTGGAGGACTTTGCAAAATTGTCGAATTCGCCAACACAGATCAGAGAATCAAACAGTTCAAACGGGCTACTCTCATGTCACTGTTGTATAGATAATGTATTGTTTGGCTCAACCTGTAAAAGGAAAAAGCTGCCTTCTCACTGAGAAAAACATGTCTGTGTAGGAGCCCTGTGAGTCACTATTTGACTCTTTGGGCTGAGAGCTGAGTGAGGCTGTCTGATAAAGCTGATCTAAAGTCAGAAATACTTGTAAGGGCGAGGAACCACCAACAAACTTGATGGATTTCATTATGTTGTGGTTAGAAAGCTGTGTCCCGGGGCTTTAATACAGGTCGGTCAGTAGATTAGCAGGACTGACTGCTTCAGGGGCCAGAGTGAGCTTGGAAACAGGTCATGGATGGAGGTTAAGTTGTGCCACAGTGCTCCGGGTGCATTCCAGAACCCAGCCAAAGCACCCAGAGAGAGAGAGAGAGGGGAGAGGGAGGGAAGGAAGGAAGAGAGTGGGGTACAATGTGGGGTATTCTTTCAAGTCCTTTTTGGATGGAAAAGGCAGTATAAATTTACGAATGTGAATGGTTTTAGTTTCTTGCACCTGAATGACAAAGCAGTAACTTCCTCTCACACCTATGATGTCATCAGCATGAGACAAACGCTCCAGTCCAATTCAATTAGTTTGAGCAAGACACGGACTGTGCGGGAAAGTCGAAGGGGAGGAACAGGAGCGGAAAATGGACGCCCACAGGAGATAAACTTTGCTCAACCTTTCCTCGGGACGTTCGTGCAGCGACCAATCAGAGCCGCAAAGTGGTCACAGGGACATTAGTCTGAGCGAGCAGACTGAACATACTGTAAACAGCCAAAACAGGAGCTACACCAGGACTAAACCAGGACTAAACCAGGACTAAACCAGGAGCTACACCAGGACTAAACCAGGACTAAACCAGGGTTGACAATGGGGCACTATGTGTTTGTGAATATATGCGTTGTCATGCTCCCGTGACTTTATGCAACTGCTTCGAGTGTGTGACCCAGACTGAAGCGGAGAGACCCAGACTGAAGCGGAGAGACCCAGACTGAAGCGGAGAGACCCAGACTGAAGCGGAGAGACCCAGACTGAAGCGGAGAGACCCAGACTGAAGCGGAGAGACCCAGACTGAAGCGGAGAGACCCAGACTGAAGCGGAGAGACCCAGACTGAAGCGGAGAGACCCAGACTGAAGCGGAGAGACCCAGACTGAAGCGGAGAGACCCAGACTGAAGCGCCCAGACTGAAGCGCCCAGACTGAAGCGCCCAGACTGAAGCGGAGAGACCCAGACTGAAGCGGAGAGACCCAGACTGAAGCGGAGAGACCCAGACTGAAGCGGAGAGACCCAGACTGAAGCGGAGGGACCCAGACTGAAGCGGAGAGACCCAGACTGACCCAGACTGAAGCGGAGGGACCCAGACTGAAGCGGAGAGACCCAGACTGACCCAGACTGAAGCGGAGGGACCCAGACTGAAGCGGAGGGACCCAGACTGAAGCGGAGAGACCCAGACTGACCCAGACTGAAGCGGAGGGACCCAGACAGACCCAGACTGAAGCGGAGGGACCCAGACAGACCCAGACTGAAGCGGAGGGACCCAGACAGACCCAGACTGAAGCGGAGGGACCCAGACAGACCCAGACTGAAGCGGAGGGACCCAGACTGAAGCGGAGGGACCCAGACAGACCCAGACTGAAGCGGAGGGACCCAGACTGAAGCGGAGGGACCCAGACTGAAGTTAAAACTCTCCAAACGCTCACAGAAACCAAAAAATGGCTCAGTCTCGTCCTGCTGTGTCAGAACTCAGATGTGGGTCACCAAATAATAGATGTTTAGTGCAGCAGCCAAAGGAGGCGGCTTCAAAATATACTTTTCATAAATATATTAAAGCACAAATATTACAGTTTGTACATTTTCCCCTTAACTGTGGTCACAGGAGTATTGGTAAAACATCTATTTGTATTACCACGGTCGCACAAAGACATTTAGGCCTCATTTACCTCTACTCTACTCTACTCTACTATCCCCTACTCTACGCTCCCCTACTCTACTCTACTCTACTCTACTCTACTATCCCCTACTCTACGCTCCTCTACTCTACTCTACTCTACTATCCCCTACTCTACTCTACTCTACCCTACCCTACTCTACTCTACTATCCTCTACTCTACTCTACCCTACCCTACTCTACTCTACTATCCCCTACTCTACTCTACTCTATCTACTCTATTCTACCCTACTCTACCCTACTCTACTCTACTCTACTATTCTCTATTCTACTCTACGCTCCTCTACTCTACTCTACGCTCCCCTACTCTATCCCCTACTCTACTCTCCCCTACTCTACTCTACTATCCCCTACTCTACTCTACTCTCCCCTACTCTATTCTACTCTACTCTCCCCTACTCTACTCTACGCTCCCCTACTCTACTCTACTATCCCCTACTCTACTCTACGCTCCCCTACTCTACTCTACTATCCCCTACTCTACTCTACTATCCCCTACTCTACTCTACTCTACGCTCCCCTACTCTACTCTACTATCCCCTACTCTACTATCCCCTACTCTACTCTACTTTACTATCCCCTACTCTACTCTACTTTACTATCCCCTACTCTACTCTACTTTACTATCCCCTACTCTACTCTACTTTACTATCCCCTACTCTACTCTACGCTCCCCTACTCTACTCTACGCTCCCCTACTCTACTCTACGCTCCCCTACTCTACTCTACTATCCCCTACTCTACTCTACTCTACGCTCCCCTACTCTACTCTACTCTACGCTCCCCTACTCTACGCTCCCCTACTCTACTCTCCCTTACTCTGTGTGGTACTGGCCCTGTGTGGGACTGGCCCTGTGTGGTACTGGCCCTGTGTGGTACTGGCCCTGTGTGGTACTGGCCCTGTGTGGTACTGGCCCTGTGTGGTACTGGCCCTGTGTGGTACTGGCCCTGTGTGGTACCGGCCCCGTGTGGTACCGACCCTGTGTACTCTCTCTGGGGCCCGGGTTCCTGGCCCCGTGGCTGCCCTCCAGGCCCCAGACTTGATCAGGGCCTCGGGAGCAGATTATGGAACAACAGCAGCTCTTGTCCAGACGATGGCTCTAATTGGAGAAACAAAGGAAGTCTTTTGTTTCTGTAGAAGAAAGCTCCGTCTGTGCTCGGGATCAGAGTCGCATCGGAAGGAATTTGTCTTCTGGATTTCACCGTCTCTCCACGAGGAAGTCCGAGACGGGGATCGGTCTGTGGAGGAAATGTCATGGGTGTTGTGGTTCTGTGTTTAGGCAGAATTGGATCATCCTGGACGTGTCGTTGTGCAGAAATAAAAATAAAATAAAAATAATAACGTCTATCTCTTTAAAACGGCCACGTGGTGAGGCTCGCAAAGCATCTCGTTTTTCTGAATATTTGTAAGTATTTTTCTAAGTGTTTCTAAGGACTTTATAATCTGTTTGTTTAATGGGGCATTGCACAATAAATGAATTGTTCAGGACGTAGCTACATGCTCATTTGCTTCTGTAGTCCCTGAGCCGAGGCAAAGATTGAATACATAGAATGCCCTGGTTAGCTTTAAAAGGTTAGCGGTAAAACGCTACACCGCTATCCACAGAGACACAATGTATACATTAATAAATAAACACACACTTGTGTAGTTGAAGTGGTGGTGGTTTAAATTGAGCTTGTGGGAAGGACACGCTTGGACTTTTTCCTTTTATAAATCCATGTTCTAATTTTTATTCTTTTTTAAGGTAGTGCAGACACAAACAGAAACAATACAGTAAATATTCCATACTGTAGATGTTATACAAATGTGAAACCAGTGACACCTCAAATGCTGTGTGTTTCTCTGTGTGTGTATCTTTGTGTCTCTGTGTGTATATCTCTCTCTCTGTGTGTGTGTGTCTGTATCTCTGTGTGTGTGTCTCTGTATGTCTCTGTGTGTGTCTCTGCATCTGTGTGTGTCTGTCTGTGTTTGTGTGTGTCTCTGTGTGTGTATCTTTGTGTCTCTGTATGTCTCTGTGTGTGTCTCTGTCTGTGTTTGTGTGTGTGTCTGTGGTGTGTATCTCTCTCTCTGTGTGTCTGTGTTTGTGTGTCTCTATTTGTGTATCTCTCTGTGTGTGTCTCTGTATCTCTGTGTGTGTCTCTGTCTGTCTCTGTGTGTGTGAAACGTTAAGTGCGACATCGATATTTTTTTGTTTGGAAATGAACAGAAAACAAATTGTGAAAATTCATAAATAAGAAAATAAACAAACATTAATGAAACTAATGAGATTGTGTTCTTTTAGCTGATCAAATTATTATATATTTTGAAGAAATGGAATGACTTTGGTCTGAAATTGAGGTGGTTCTATTGTTGTAAATTCCTAGCTTCTCGTGGAGCTGCTCTGTCCTGGTCTAAACGTGAAGCTCATTATGCCGCAGTGTAGACGTATGCATCACTGTCTGGAAAGGTTTGTGTCGCGCCGTTTTCACAGCGTTGATTGTGTATTAACCTTGTGTTTCTGCAGTCAGCACTTGTGTCCGCGCCGAGACAAGGACGTGCGGATGTTTGCGTTGGAAATAAGATACAAACGATTTGATAAAGCAGAAGTGAAGTTTGGATAAATGCAATTATCCGCGAGCGCCCGTCTCTCCAGGACGCCTTATCAGAGACGCAAGAACTCCTGCTTTCCCCGTTCACTCACTCCTCTTTGAGCTGGAACACAAAACACAAACGCCTTTTCTACCCTCCTTTTGTCTAACTGTAGTTGATGAATCTGCATGTTCCTGGTTCCCGGATCCCTGCGTGCTGATTGGTTTGTTCTCTGGAATGTGTCAGACCTTGTGATTTCCAGCCGTCTGTGCGTCGTATGGAGATGAGTGTGTAGACAGTGCTCCTGTGTGCTGTGAATGAGGTCATAGCCACACACACACACGGTCGCACACACGCACACGCATATATATATATATACACACACACACACACACAGCCTGTTTGTGCTGTATGGCTGGTCGCCCCGGGTCAGTCCATCCTCGTCCTGGGTCAGCCACAAGAATGCCGCGCCTGCAGGGTGGGCACTTAAACAGCACATTCAGCACCATACTCTACGCCACATCCACCCCCGGCTACGTCAACACTGCTACTACTACTGCTGCCGCTACTACTACTACTACTACTGCCGCTACTACTACTACTGCCGCTACTACTACTACTGCAACTATTGCTGCTGCTACTACAATCAATCAACCTTTATTTGTTGAGTGCTTTTCCTACTCAAGGTAATAATGCGTCACAGCCCATATCACATAAGACCCTAACCCTAATCACCTGACCTGGCCCTTCTGCTGCTACTGCTATTACCGCTACTGCTGCTACTGTATGGCAGCTATAGGTCTAACCTTTACCACAACATTCCACCTTAAATACTTAGAGTTTAGATTATGTCGGAGATTTCAGTCTAAAACTGTATTTCAGACATGGCTTTGTCCTGATGACGCATAGTCAGAAACAACTGATCTAAGTTTCTACATGTTTTCACCATTTTCTACTGTTTGTTTTAACCGTGTCACTATCTTTGCTTCGGCGTAGTCTCCTGCTGTCCTTTATGAAGTGAACTGCTGCTTCTGCAGCTTCTGCTGCTTCTGTGATACCGTCTGAGTTGTATTTTGTGCTTAGTGGTTGTCTGCGCAGTGATAGTGGGACATTTTTAATTGAATCCGCTCGTTTTAGATGAATCGCAATCTTCTAGAAATTGCTCGTTCTGTGGCCGCAATTAGCAAAGACTAATTATTTGAGATTTTGCAAAAAGAGACTGAACGAAACAATACATCGGTTGAAATTGGGGAAAATGTGTCTTGGTTTGAGTTAATTTGAGGACTTTCTATGGTCTCCAATTATGGCTTTCTCCATTGGAACTTTATTGACATTAATGGACATTGGTCTCTGCCCCTTTATGGACCAATGGCTCTGTCTTTTATCATCGCACTTCCTTTGTTTGAACTGTTTGATTCTCTGATCTGTTGTTGGTGAATCGGCTTTGCAAAGTCATTCGAGATAACTACTGTTGTGATGTGAGATCCATAGTCTATCGTTTGTAGGCCTACACACAAATGTAATTGAATAGAACTTTCTGGAGGTTTGTTCCTGTAGTACAAGGGTCTCCAACCTGTGGTTCAGGAGCTACCATTAGCTCACCAGCCCCTTTCAGGTAGCTCCCCAAAGGATTTAGAATTTCACACATGATCTTGAGTAAATACATTTTGAGTCGTCACATTCAAATCTATTAAAAGTACAAATATAGAGTTATACAGTATTTTGTGTTCATATTCTGTCGTAATTATTCCATAGATTTTTATTACGACTGTGAAAAACAGTAGCTCTCTGCCTCTTCTGTTGTGTAAAAGTAGCTCTCGGATTGTAAAAGGTTGGAGAGCCGGGCTGTAGTAGCGTCGCGGGGCCTCGTCCTGGGGGAGGCAGGTGCAGCTGTGGTCCCCTCCGGAGCGCCCTCCCCGCTGTGATCCTGGAGGAATGTGTGCGTCTGCTGCTGTGGCTGTGGTTCCACCTCCGCGCTGCTGTCGCCGCCTCACACTGACCTGTCGGGACTCGCTCTCCGGCAGCAGGAAGGCGACGAGAACACCTGAGCGAGGCGTTTACAGCAGCAATGATAGCATATGAGCTAATAGATACTTGACTCCAGTGGGTTTTTTCTTTTGTAGATCTTAATCTGGGCACATTCTGTGTTTAAACTAGATTCTTCAATGGGTCAAAGCCGTTTAGTCTCATTTCAATAACTTTTGCTTTATTTTCTCATTTCAAGGGAGACATTTCTCGTATCTTTTTAAAACAAGATTATTTTGGCAAATCTTGTTTTTAAGGCTGTCAGAATGTGCTCATAGACACATTTTGTCCAAATGTTTTACTTTTACTCCTCACTTTTTGCAGCGTGACATCAATTGGTAACTCCTAAAATAGGTATTAGCCACTTTAATCATAAAACACAAACACATTAAAGAGACACAAGCTCTATTAGTTGATTTAGCGGGTGATTTGTACAGATTGGAAGCTCTGAACCAAGTACATGTCGACATCTGAAAAATGAATTGATTTTAAATTCATATGTTTTCTCCAGCCCTGTTAGAGACAAAACTCTGAAACCAGTTTTGCCTCAAATGTTTTTGCCGATATTTTAGATTAATTTAACTAAAGAATAAAAAAGCAGAATCATTTATGGTCTCATGGGAAGGGCGGGGTTTGGCTTTAAAATGGATAAATCACTATCATTAAAGGTTATCGTAAACAAATGATGGCCTAAACGTTACGTTTTAGTGTTTTTAACACTTTGGAACTCCCCTAGCATCATCGCGCTCCAACACTGTTTTAAATATAAGTTTTGTTTATTGGCTTAACAATATTGTCCAATGAGTTGAATTATCCAAAAAGCACAAAGTCGAGGTTCTGCCTCGAGATAACTGAAAAAAACACGTACGACAAAACTAATTAGCGTATGCCTAAAACAAGGCTATATAGATGGACAGACGGATATAGATACTTTATTGATCCCTGTAGAAGAAAGTCGGGGTCCAGCTGCAGAAACACATCCATCCAAACAAACATGAGCAAAAAGTGAAAAATAAGTCAAAAATTGTGTGTCTTAACTTGAGCACATTCTGACTTCCCTTTAAACAAGGTTTGCCAATGGGACAAAGCAAAATTATCTGGTTTTAAAAGATGACACTAACTTCTCCCTTGGAATGAGAAAATAAAGCAACAGATCTTGAATAAAGACTAAATAGCTTTGTCCCATTGGAGAATCTTGTTTTACGGGGTGTTTTGTTTTGGGCGGCACGGTGGCTGAGTGGATAGCACTCTCGCCTCTCAGCAAGAAGGTCCTGGGTTCAAATCCCGGTTGGACCAGGGCCTTTCTGAGTGGAGTTTGCATGTTCTCCCCGTGTCTGCGTAGGTTTCCTCCGGGTACTCCGGTTTCCCCTACCGCTAAAAATATGTAAAATAGTTCTGGCACGCGCCTCCTGTACTGGCGACCCTGCTCCCATCTCTGTGTGGAGTGAGAGACAAGTGCCCCAAAAAAATAACAATTGTAAACCGCTTTGAGACTCAGCTCTGCAGTGAAAAGGCGGTATATAAATAATTACTTACTTACTACTACTACTTACTTACTTTTAAGTCAGTTTTTATGTGCTCAAAATAAAAACCACTCTATTTTCGAGCAATTATACCTCCCACTGCAGAAAATGATCAAATATAAGTACATTAGTTATAAACC